AGTTAGCCGAGCAGTGATACAATTTGGAAATACAGTGGAACTCACTAACTTCTTATGGAAACAAAAAATGTTTCGAGTTAACTGAAGATCGAGTCAGTGGGGTTCCGCCATCTTTACTCTTGCATAAGCTTTTATTTGGTTCCAGTAAATATGCTGTTGATTGCTATATTAGCAGAAAGTTCACGACAGCAGATCTGTGAGGTGTAAATTACATTGATAATAATAAGAAGCTTATTTCATATATGTAAGGTAACACCTAATAAATTCTGGTACCTTTTGAATTGAATACTTGTTGTTGACTTGGAGTGATTTAGGGGTTGGTTTTGCAAAAATGAATGAAATGTCTCTGCTATTTATGGCCTTTGGGATCCAATTCACTTGATAAAGCACAGAAGGAGCTTTGCGTCAAAAACAGTTTGAATAGCGTCGGTTGAAATATGTGGGAGAAATCACAATTTAAAGTCATAAATAAAGTATTCGTGACGTAATGGATCGCAGGCCCCAAAAAGAATGAGGGATAATCGTCTTCTCTGTTCTTTTCAAACTTTTTAAACAAGCTTCACATTATCTTGAGGATAATAGTGATATTTCACTGAATGTACAAGCCGTTTATCTCTTACATCTTTTTTCAAATTTCCAAATCATTTGCTCGAGAAGGAAAATTATTTACACCTTTTACCTCTTTGGTGGCAAAACTGAAAGAAATGAAGTGTCCAAGCGAAAGCACTAATGGTTTAAAGGTATTTATTTCTTCTTTAGTCGGATGACATTCAACCCTAGCACTTCTTCCGTTGTCGCTTCTTCGTCTTGTTAGGTTTAACTTTTGCTTGCTATTTTCTGGGCCGCGTGTCGCGAGCGAAAGAGGCTTTTTGTGCCTCCCCAAGAATTTGTAGTTCATTTCAAAACAGGGAAGAACTTCTGGCTCACTTTGAAAAATGCTTTTGTTTGTTTTTGGCTCTTTAGAAGGTGACGATGGTTTTGAAAACACTTTGACGATAGTTGTCATGTTTACGTAAATGCGAAACAATATCACTTAGCCTGTTTGGTTTTCTTTCGCGATGCTTGCGGTTTGGTTTTCCTCGGCAGGAACTGTCGTTTGGTTTGGTTTCCAAGGTGATATTTTTTGTAGCACGAATTGCATTTTTGTTTTCACGGTAGCAAGATTTTTTGCTCGCGACCCACGTCAGCAATATCCATCCCTTCATGCACAAGAGCAATTCCACGCTAAATACCCCCTTTTCAATGAGATTCTAACAAAAATATCCAATCCCTATTTTAATCGATGTCATCCACGGCGTTGCCCTCTTGGCTGTTTAAGGTCCCTATTACATGGTCCGTGCTTGCGCCTCCAAGCCTTGTATCGTGTATTGACCTCGAGGCAGAGTGATGGATTGGCTGTTGTGTTGCTTTGGTTTGGTTTTATGAGACTCCATCTAAAAGCTCTCTAGTTGTAGTTTTCGGTTGATCATATCTACTTACTAGTAATTACAGTGCACTCTTTTCAAATGGTGCCATTTAGCTTCTATTTTTTATCGTAAAAGGAAGTTCTTACCTTTGTGCTTAAAATCTCACGTGTGTGAACTCACAAGTGCTTTCGTAGTAATACAGTTTATCATCGTGGCTAACTTTTACTCCTAAGAAGGAAACCTTAAGTCCAGATGAAAGCTATCAAGCAGTTGTTTGATGTGATAATACTTCTTTATGAAACTCATCACTGTTTTGGACTTTACCTAAGCCTCGTGACAAGGGCAAAGTACGAGCTGGTCTCTCTACGAAGTGTTACTGCATTGTGAAACGTAACTTCTGGTATGTCTATGACGTCACGCAAGTTTTTGGAATGCTAGCAACAAGCTAGGTCTAGATCTGTTTGAAACCATAAAAAATTAAAACCCGGCGTTTCGCGGCCCGGGAACGAAATGAGTGAGCTTATTGCAGTTGTTTCCTCTACCTAACCTGCAGTTTTTTCTCTCCTCTAGAACATGAAAAGCTGGATTACGGAAATTGCTTGAGTCAGATAAGTACATTCCTAGTTTTAATTTTGATTTTCTAATCTCTTCACCTCATTGCTAAACTTTGATTGCGTAGAGGCACCCATAAAATTTCCGCTGACAAGCCAGGCGAGTTTTCAGTAAGTGATAGTAGTAAGTGAGCTTAGACGGAGGATTATTGACTAGTTGAATACGCATTGTATCTGTGAAAACACTCTTTGAAGCTTGTGTGTCTCAATTCGCTCTTGAAAGAACAACTTTCAAGACTATAAATTATGTCAGACCCCGCCTGACAAACTTGAAAGACTCACTCTCAAGTGAAACCTATTCTGCAATACATAGACAAGTAAAGCAGGGAAAAGACGTTTGGAAGACGAAACGCTTTCAAGCCATGTGTTGTCTCTTTTCCTTGTCACAATCGACATGCACTGTGTGTGCCTAAATGTTATTCGACAGATCTTGAAAGAATAAGCGCTTCCAAGACATATTTGCAAATTGCTTGATGGCCGTCAAACCATAAAGCTAAAAATTGAGTTCAAGTGTTAAACTTTTAAGATAAAGAAACTTTCGCTGTCTAGTAACTCATGCTTAACTTCTTTGAATTTCATTTTTCTGCTGCTAAAAAGTTGTGAATTTCCATGCGAATTCCGATTCTTCTTGTTGCTGCCAGGCAAATTAAATCTTTGTCACCCAAAAATAATTTCATCCTTCAAGTTAGTATCCAAAATATAATAAAGTAAAAAAAAATTCTGACCCATCCAAGTTAAAAGTGAACTAATCTGTGGCGAATAATGCCGTGGTAAGTTTAAGATATATTTGCTAACTTTGGTTCAATATTTTGTTGTTGTAGTAATTATTGCGAATAGCTCCATCTCTATTATCAATTAAACCGAGGGACAGTCAGTGTCTCTGAACTGCACCATACGTGACGATGGAAGTCGTTCCTGGGAACGTCGGGATGGAATCGAGATCGAAAATGCGAAAAGACAGGTGACTCTTCTCTCCTTATTTTCTATAAATGTATATCTGATATATAAATTTTTTATTTTTCGCATTAAACGAAAGAAGTTTTAAAGTATCAAACTTTTAAAGAAATGATCAGTATTCAGCGAGTAACCATCGAGTTTTGGATGTCCTTGGGAGGTTTAGTAAGCTCTCAAGAAAGTAGGGTCGCACCTCGCTTTCAACGCTTCTTTCGTACTTAGCAACCTCCCACGTGCATCCATAATTCGATGGTTGCACGCTGCAAGCTAAACATTTTTTAATTTTACCCATCTGGTTGTATTTTTACCTCACCTTCCTACGATCTCTCTCAATAGTTTTCACCCATCCATCCATCCCACTGCATTTCTTCCCTGCACCTTCAGTTGTTGAGAGAGTGCAGCAGGTCTCCCATTCCAATTATAGAAGACAACAACGTGGCACTGTTAAGAATGTGTCCGTTTCCCATTTCGAATATCGAGCTGAACCGTACTTCGATTGCTTCCAATATCGAGAAGAACATCTCTAATCCCTTTTCGTTTAACGCACCTAGCTTCTTGCATGTGTTTCTCTGCGTTTCTGGAATTCATAGTTTCTTTATAGTAATTTTCCTTTAAGGTTTCAGTTCAAATTCTATTACAAGGGTCATTTACACAAAAAAACCAATGGCACTATACAAAACGATCAATTATTCCAACGACAGTGGAATTTCTCCGTACAGAAACCTCTTCCAAGGGACCCCCGTACTCTGAGGGACTGTAGATTCAATCGAGCTCATAAGTGCCAAGAAGCTGAGTGCCAATAAGAGCCAAGTTGTGCTAAGGATTGTGGATGTGACCCTGTTATAGAAGTCGTGCTGAAAAAGATCTTAATTTAAAATATCTAATCATACACCATTAGTCTTGTTTAGGTTAAGTAGCTGGCCCAGAATAGCTTTTCTAATAAAGGGCCTTTAAGGACTTTTAAACGTGAATTTGTGAAAAATAAGCTTAACGCTGTCGCTGCATTTGTTGAAGGTTAAAAGAGGAGGAAGACTGCTTGAAATCATTGACACGGCCATTGCAGATTCTGGTGTCTACACCTGTAGAGTGGGCAAAAGCTCTCTCACCATCACGATACATGTTATTGGTAGGTAGTTGGTAATAAGCCTTTCAACCTAAACTGACTTTTCTTTATATTCAAAGGGAACCAGAAGCGTCGTTTATTGTTACATGTCTCAAATAAATTTTAACTTCCTAATACATAGAAGCAGCCCCTCCTTTTCGTCAAAGTCCGTCGCGTGATTCATAAATACCAGCGAAATAAGACTTGACGTAAGCTCGCCGCGGGAAGCTCTTGGAGAGATGTTTGCCCCGAGAAAAACTTTCCTCAACTTGAAGATAACAATAGCTAAAACGGTAGCTCACAAATCCACAAAAAAGGTATATATAAACAGGAAGGAACAAGCAAGGCTAAGGACGAAGAAGATAAAAATGGATTTTAAATTACTTTGAAATATTAGTTGGGTACGATGAAGAAACACAAAAGAGGCACTGATAAACCATAGAGATAAAAGGTTGGAGAAGATATATTAAAATGGAATGAAAATGACTACAAAATATTAGCACGGTACGATGAAGAAACACAAAAGAGGCACTGATAAACCATAGAGATAAAAGGTTGGAGAAGATATATTAAAATGGAATGAAAATGACTACAAAATATTAGCACGGTACGATAGAAAAACACAAAAGAGGCACTGATAAACCACAGAGTTAGAATGTTGGAGAAGATATATTAGAATGGAATGACAATGACTACAAATATTAGCACGGTAAAATAGAAAAACACAAAAGAGGCAACAACAAACCGAAAAGAAACAAGGTTGGCTGAGGATGGAGAAGATTTAAATGGATTGAAATTGACTACAAAGTGTTAGCTCGGTTGTTGCTGACAAAAACTCAAAGAAGCTACACTATACTAGGAAGGAAGAAGTAATTTATGATGTCCGTTGTAGAGATGAGGGTGTGTTTTTTCTTATTACAATTGAAGTCAAGGTGGAAATGGCCCTGAAGGTTGAAAATTACAACTACACTAAAGAGCTGGAGAATAAGTCATCGCTACAATACAAGTTAATCGAGAAAAACTTTACCAATGAGGTATGATTTGTTTTCCTCCTTTCATCTCTCCATTCCCTCTCTCCCCATTCCCTTTTGTTTTCTCCTAGGCTACTCGCATTTTGCTTTCCTCTCTAAACCTTCCTCTCTCCTTTTCCTCCTTCCTCTGTTCTCTCTTCCTCCCTCCAGTAATTTCCTCCTTCCCCTCTCATTCCCCTCTCACCTTACAATCTCTCTCCTTCTTCCCTCTCTCTCTCTCCCATGTATGCCCTTCCGCCCTTCCTTCTTTTTTTCTCCTCCTTTCCCTTTCTTCGCCCTCCTTCGTTTCCCCTTCCGACACTCTACCATTTCTCCCACCCTCTCACTCTCTTCAGTCCTTCCTCCTTCCCTCCTCTTTCTCTGGATTCTTACCTTTCTCCTCACTGTCTGTTCGTACCAATTATTCCACCGAATGACTTACCAACCGTCTTTCTCCCCATCTCTCACCTCGTCAATAGGTTCAATGCTTTAAATGCAAGGGTTTAAAGGGTAATATTAAATGAAAAAAAAGTAACACCTCTTGCCATTTTTCAGATGGACTTCGTTTACAGAGATACTCCAGGATACATAAGAACAGAGGTTTTGAAAATGACGTGAGTGCCACAGCGTATTCCTAATTCTTAACTGCACCGTTGAAAACTCAAAATATTTCTTTTTCGCGTGAATCAGTCTTAATAGTATCTAATAGCATATCTCCTATTTCATGTGCTGTATTGATCTAAACGTGAATAAACAACATATATCAATGGTCCCCATTGCACATAAATTTATCCAAAGAGTCGTTTTTTCTTATCAAAGATAAATAACAAACAATTCCATGATTATTGAGGAATATAACTCGTTATTGCATGAAGCTAAATAACCCCCCTGAGTCCCTTTATAGTAACGAATCCTAAGGCCAACGATTTTACACTCCGATTCTCTACAACTGAGTAACCAGAATAGAAAAGATGTTAAGTTTCGTGCTCGGTAATAGAATAAAGAAATAGATTCCCTCTTTCTTTTTCTTACTCCCCTGTTTTCCAATTTTTTATAAATTAGCGCGTTAGTAATCATTGTAGCTACAGTATGACTATTTGCTCAAACGACTTTTGTCCCTTGATATATTAGGAAAGGAAGTGTGGTAGTAGATTTCAACATTATTATCCAAATTGTGACAACCGATCCCAAAAACGAAACAACCATTGCAGATAAAAAGGCCTTCGTCGTTCAAACAACGAGTAAAGAAGCCGAAGATGGTTTTGTAAAGCAGCTAAAAGTGTCCAAGGTTATTCCAAAGAGTAAGTTCGTCGTAGTGAAACTAGTTCTTTACAAGTTTTTATTTAAATTTCGGGCGGGATTCGATATTTCCTGAGACTCCAGTCTCTTACAGTACCTCTTTCCACCCAGAAGCATGAATATGTATGAATGGGTGATAACAAACTGCCACTGCTACTGAAACAGAAGAGTTACCTGCAATGGAGTGGTGTCCAATCCAGGATAAGTAGTAACACTCCGGGTTTCTAATTTCTCCTTAAGGTATCATTGATTGGCAACTATGAGAGCTTTTGACTGTTGAACAGATACTCCTGTTGGGAAAATGGGATATTTATAAAAAAAACGTTGTGGAGAATGTGCAAACTGATGGTCAATGGACCTCTTGTTTCGTAAGGTTCAATCACCCGGGTAAGAAAGGATTAATGTCAATAGAAACGTTACATTAGGAGGCTTTTCTTGCATTATGTGATTGGAAAGGATATGAAGAAACAAATAAGCAGCAATATAAAAAAACACTCGCCATTATTAGAGTAATTTTTTAGATGTCTCTGTAACTTTAATACTTGCACCTTGTTTCATCGTTTAGCCCTCAGATAATCTCTTTGATTGTCCACTCACATTTATGATGGTTTTCTCTCCATTTTTCACTTTCAGCCGAACCTCCAGAACCTAATAGTGTGGAGATCTTCGATATGAAATCAGATGAGCTGAGTGTTCGATGGAAACTGTCGGAAGATGCTGAAACTTTCGACGCACGCACTTACTCGGTGCAATACAGAGCATATGGTGAAGAGACCTACAGCGAGCATACTCAAACAGCAACCACTGAAACTACAAACTACCCTTACAGGATTAAGTCTCTCGAACCTGAGACTATTTACTTGATACGGGTCGGTGCTGCTAACCCGTATGGACCCAATTTCAACGAGGAAACCGGCCATGAAACCGAACCCGCACGTAAGCCATTTTTTACTATTCACAGTAATTTCTAAAATTGACAACAGGTTTTTCGTAAATAGAAGTTTTTTCATCAGTGTTTTGTTAACCTTTACACGTGACGTCTCGTTCATATTTTTGCTGGAAACTTGATCACTGATTATTTTATATCTTTAGGTTATGTATTACTACTGTACCTTCGCAATTTTTAAGCATCAAAACACTTTGGCAAACTTATGTTGGAAATTAAGTCTTCCTATTTTAAAATTTCGATAAATTATCTTGCTTCGAAAGTAGTGAGGGATAGTTTGAATTAAAGTCAGGTTTTAACAAGCTTTAACAAGTTTTAACAAAACTGTGTTGCTACTTGCATTTTATAGCATAAAGAATTGTACCCGCAATCTTACGCCTTACGTCTCACCTATGGCCATCCTTTAATACTGATATACAGCCTTTGAAAAAGGTCGACAATGTCATGTGTGGCTTTAATTCTGATATCACACATTTTTTATTACAGCTTTTGCTTGGTGGATTATTTTCTTGGCCGTGTTAGGTGTCCTCTTGATTCTTGGCATACTCATCGGCATTATTATCTACAGACGCAGGAGAGCGCGGGACAGAAGAGAGCAAACAGAGGCTCGGTTTCAAGCTCTTGAAAACCAAACCGGGTCTCATAAGGTACCATTACAACAGATAAACTTATTGCGTTAATCCTATATAAAATAAACCGGATACCGTTCTATAGTTGCATGCAATGAGAGCATTCCATCAAAAATCGAAAAATCAAAACCAAAGTAATCACAGCAACCTATCATGACAAAAGAAAATTTCACGAGGATGAGAACTCAACGTTAAAACAAGCGAGCTGCTTTAAGCTCGTTCAAGAGAGTGCTTCGAGTTTTCTGGACCAGCTGCGAGTTTTCTGGACCAGTCACTCAGCGGAGCAAGGCAAAATCAAAGAAATCCCAGATTACTTTGGACACTCCATTGATCATATCTCTATAAGAAATTTACCGCACATTACGAAAGGTTCTATCGACCTATCCCTGCCATTTAACTAAAATCACACCATCCTTGATATGAAATCACTGTCCACGCATGTTTTGACTTTCAGGGCGAAGTAGCAGCTTACCATGGGGAGAATGTTAAAGGATTGTCATACTCGTTTAAAAACACTGCTTACAAGCCGGGTGAGATGAACTGGGAAGAGTTTCCGCACGAGAATATCAAACTGTTGGATGAACTAGGTTCGGGAGCATTCGGCATCGTTTTTAAAGGAGAGCTGCAACAAGAGAACGGGAATATCATTCCTTGCGCAGTAAAAACCTTAAAACGTAAGTCTCGTATGCAAGGTTCACGCGTAGCGTGTTAGTCAATCAGCTTGTCAGTTTTGATGAGTTAGTCAGTCAATCAGTCAGACAGGCAGTCAGTTAATCAGTTCGTCAGTCAGCCAGTTTGTTAATCAGTCAGTCAGCGAGCTAGTCAGCCAATCAACTAGTAATTAAGACAGTCTGTCAATTATTCAGCCAGACAGCCAGCTAGAAAGCCTACCAGCCAGCCATTCAGTCAGTCAGCCAGTCAGCCAGTCAGCCAGTCAGCCAGTCAGCCAGTCTGCCAGTCAGCTAGCCAGCCAGCCAGTCAGTCAGTCAGTCAGTCGGTAAACCGGTCACCAAGCCTGCCAGTCAGCCAGTCAGTCAGGCAGCCAGTCAGTCAGCTAGCCAGTTTGCCAGTCAGCCAGCCAGCCAACCAGCCAGTTAGTCAGCCATTCAGCCAGTTGACCCGCTGACTCGCTGGCAGTCTCTTTCCGGTGACATCACAAATTGCATCACAGTCTCTTTCCGGTGACGGTCACAAATTGCGATTTTCACATAGCCAAGTGATACTTTTATGGGAACTTTTATGTTCTTTGTATTTCTATGAATAACCAAAAGCTCTTGTGAGCTTCACATAAGTTACATATATAAACTTGTTTTAAATGTCACCAAATTTCACTCTTGTTCTATGAAACAGCATCTGCCACAAAGGTGGAAAGGAAAGACTTGTACAATGAGTTGGAAATCATGGCCAACGTAGGACACCATCCGAACCTTGTGAATTTGATTGGAGCATGCACACAAGATGGTCAGTAAAACACTTGAACTATCATTCAGAACCCTGCATTGACCCTTTTACTCTAAAAAATTAAAGTGCAATTCTCCCTTCTAGTTACCACACATTTACCACTCAATTAGTTATGATTAAGTGCTGCTTTGACTCTCAAGCTCTTCACATATTTGATGGACAACGTATCAGTATCCTGAAAAGAAGTTACACGTCAATCACCTCTGGTAGTTGGTGGGGATTAAAGAAGCTGATGCACATTTAGTGCAACTTGAAATTTTTTTTAGCAACCCTTTTAAATCTTTTTCATCTTTGACCATCCTCGCTTCTTCCTCATTCAGTCTTCCCTTCCAAACTAATATTCTGTGTTTTTACGTCAAGAGTAATATTACACATCCAGAAGAAGGGCCTAATTTCCCAAGCTCGTCATTTGCAATCACAGTCAATCTTCTTCATTCTTTGCTATCCTCGTTCCTTTCTTCCATTTTCATGTTTTTCATCTAACCAACCTAACATTTGCTGTATTTCCTTATAAGGAACATAATTTTCCATGTCATAACCGAAATACTGAAAATTTTGCAACTTGGCGCCCTTAACGTTTGAAACTAAATTAGACAAGTCCATTGGTCTCATTCCATTCATTTCTCTATCTCCAGACCTCCTACTCGTTATAATAGAGCTAGCAGAAAACGGCTGCCTGTTAGATTTCTTAAAACAGTCCCGACAACAAGATGGAAATAACACTACAAGCGGCTTAACAGAACATATGAAAACATCGATAGCCGTCGATGTAGCGCGAGGAATGGCACATTTAGCACGCTGTAGGGTGAGTTCAAAGTAGTAGCAGTAACATCCTAGGTGCACCCAGTTTTCCTCCTACCATACCTCATCAATCCTCTGCACTTTCTACTCTACCGATTATTTTTTTTGAATTTAACCTCTGACAGTTGGGGATTTCATCTACAAATATCATTGATATTTTCTTTTCTCACCTCATTTTCAACTTGAAAATGTTTTGCTTTTTGTTTGGGGAAATTTCTCTATAAAGTCACGCAATAATGTAAAATGACTCGTCATTAGTTTTGATTCTGCTGAGAAATTCGATGTTTGTCAAGTGACTTTAACAAACACCTACAACAATCAAACATTACTTGAAATTTTGTTCTTATCAGTGTATCCACCGAGATCTCGCAGCAAGGAATGTTTTACTGGGGAAGGACTACGTTGCTAAGGTTTCCGATTATGGTATGGCACGTGATGTTTATGAACAGCTGATGTACAAGAAAGAAACTCAGGTAAATTACTTGCTAAAAGAGCTAAGAGTATAAAGACTTATAGTTTGGTGTTCAAAAAGTCTCTTTTAATGGAAAGAATAGGAATTTAGCCGTAGGGATTCTACGAGGTGGCTCTTTTTGTCAACTTTTTACAGGTCCAATTGGAATTTGGAAAGTTGGTTTTTGTGAAAGAGGGGGGGGGGGGGGGAAACTGGATGACCCGGAGAAAAAACCTACGGAGAGATGACGAGAACTAACGTGACTCAACCATTATATGACGTTAGGTCCAAGAGCACCCTCATGACTGCGCCATCTCCTCTTTCCAAAAATTTCTGATATCGTGCAATTGGATAAAATCATCTGGCAACCCAAGGCCAAGCTACACGTAGTCATTCTGTAGGTGATTCTTTTATTTGCTTCTTTCAGGGTAAACTTCCGGTTAAATGGATGGCTGTCGAGTCCTTGGAGACATACACTTTCACGATGGAATCTGACGTGTAAGTCATTTTAAATGGCCAGGGTATGAGGCTAAAATCCTGACTTAAATGCTCATCAACCAATGTGAGCCGTTGAAATTTCGTAAATTTCCTTGACAGTTCAGAAACACTCTTCATACATTTAGCGAGAGGGAGGGACGCCGTGAATTTAGAACGAACTGAGATATTTAAAACAGAATAAAATATCTCGCTAATTCTAAATACTAATTTTTCTTAAATCTATTTATAATGAGCAAAAGATTCATTCTTATTTTCTGGACTTTTTTTAATCTTTAATTTTTTTTTGTTCAAACGCAGGTGGGCTTATGGAGTACTGCTTTGGGAAATAGAATCAGGAGGTAGGATTTGTTTTCATCTAGTACTGCATCGGACGCAGAAAAATACCCTATTTCTCTTGAGTTTAAACTGAGTCTGAGCGAGTCAGTTGCAGTTTCATTTGCCATTCAACATTGTGTTGTATTTTCTAAAAAAGAATACACAACGTTCAAAATTTTCAAAATTAAAAAAGATGTTTTTTCGTCTTGTCACGAGCGTGGGACAAAGAAAAAATTTTGAGTCCCCATGAGGAATGGAACCTCAGACCTTCGGATTTGCGCTCCGATGCTCTACCACTGAGCCACAGAGACTCTCCGGTGAGCGGGGTCTATTACGAAGTTCAAATGAAACGCGTCCTGCATACTGCTAGGATCAGCAATGTCGATAGCGTAATGTTTTTTGACAGAAAAGTAGAGATGGTAAGTTTTGAGCTCGGTGAAGAATTAAGAAAGATGTTTTTTTTTTTTTTTTTACTTCGTAATAGAACCCGCTCACCGAAGAGTCTTTGTGGCTCAGTGGTAGAGCATCGGAGCGCAAATCCGAAGGTCTGAGGTTCGATTCCTCATGGGGACTCAGAATTTTTCTTTGTCCCACGCTCGTGACAAGACGAAAAAAAATCTTTCTTAATTCTTCACCGAGCTCAAAACTTACCATCTCTACTTTTCTGTCAAAAACATTTTAAAAATTGCTTGCAATCAGAAGTTCGCGTTAAATGCATATCTGTCTCGCAAAAGGAAAAGAAGTCTGCTACGTGACATTTTTTTTTGTTTACGAACCAAAGTTGACAACGGGTGGATTGATGGTCAATTTTGAAAGGGTGAAGCTGGTTAGATTCTGTGTATTAGTCTGAGTAGAAATCTTAGCGTCACGTGTCTTAAAAACGATATTTAAGACGGTTAACGTAACTAAATAATATTCCCTGCTTTTAGGGTTGAAACCTTATGCTGGCCTTAGTACTGCGGAGCTGATAGAAAACCTAAAGAACGGATACAGAATGGAAAAGCCTAACGGATGCTCAGACGAAATGTAAGATATTCTCACATTATTCTTGCTTTTAAAGGCTTGCCATAATTTTCTCTTCTCGTTGGCTATTTAAACGTATACTACACTGAGTACTCAAAAAATATATATATACAAACCTCGTTCCACTCGGTTTGACAAATCGGCAGTAGTTTAGAGTGGTTTGTACTGTTATCGACAACGATATTCGTCAGCAGAGTGGTCCACAACATTTCGCTAACGAATATCACTGTCGATAAAAGTACAGACCTTGCTAAACCACTGTCGATTTGTTTTTTTATCACAACATCGACATCAAAATTTCCAAGTTATTCATGTTTGAGAGCTGATAAAGGCATTGCGGAACACGATGATGCGGCTGCTCTGTCTGTGCTCCTGCTAACTATTACTGCCATTTGTGGTAAAGAAAATAAGTAGAGGTAATAAGCTATTTGGGAAAAGATCTGTGCAGTGCTTGAATAAGATTGAACTAAGCCTTCAGTTTTCTTAGTGTGCTGTCCATATTTATGAAATTTAGCCAAAGCACACAAATGGTGGAAATTTTTATCTCATTCCTTCAGGCCCTGATATAGTTATTGATTTCGTAATGTTTATGGAATGACCACGAAATTTCCAAAGTACCAAAATTAAAAATTATGACTAAACGCAGCGTTATGCAACCTTTTTTTTTGTTTTAGGTACCAGACCATGAGAGATTGTTGGAATTCAAGTCCTAGTGCAAGACCAAATTTTGACGAGCTTGTTGTTCGTCTTGAGAGCACAATCACGACTTAGTTTACATTATATTTCATTATCAGCGACAACAGCAACAACAACAAAGAAAAAACTACAACAACTAAACAGGGAATTTTTACAGGAAATAGTAAGGTTTAAATAATTAAAAAATTACGTTAGGACTATCAAGGAAGACGATTTAGGCTGAAACACCATATTTGTTCACCGAGAGGCTATGCAAAGTAAAATTCTCGATGGAAATTCTTAATGGTGTTACCTTTGGTAGATGATGAAAATACCTAAACTGAGTAAGTTTAACTTGATCGCCTCTCGTTAGAAATTAGAATCGACATCGTGGTTGTTCATAGCCGTTTTTTTTTAATAGTAAGACTTTTGTTACCGTTTCCCTACACGTGTCAAATGGTATCAAAATTGTAACAGAGACAAAATTGCTGCTTTGCGAAGACAGCGCGAACTTAGAGGGACTCTCCTAATTTACTATGATGTTCGTTTACTATAATGTTAAAGGAAATGATATTTAACTGCTTTGATTTTTCTTTATTAATACTATAATCGCTTAGAAAAGGTGAAGCAACTGAAAAAAAGCAATAGATAAACTTCAAATTACAACTGAAAATCAGTTCGTTAGGGCATCGCACATAATGCTTATTGTTCTTGGCATATTTCTTATAAGGGAGGAGTGGGAGGAATATTAAACCGAGTTAGCCGAGCAGTGATACGATTTGGAAATACAGTGGAACCCACTAACTTCTTATGGAAACAAAAAATGTTTCGAGTTAACTGAAGTTCGAGTCAATGGGGTTCCGCCATCTTTACTCTTGCATAAGCTTTTATTTGGTTCCAGTAAATCTGCTGTTGATTGCTATATTAGCAGAAAGTTCACGACAGCAGATCTGTGAGGTGTAAATTACATTGATAATAATAAGAAGCTTATTTCATATATGTAAGGTAACACCTAATAAATTCTGGTACCTTTTGAATTGAATACTTGTTGTTGACTTGGAGTGATTTAGGGGTTGGTTTTGCAAAAATGAATGAAATGTCTCTGCTATTTATGGCCTTTGGGATCCAATTCACTTGATAAAGCACAGAAGGAGCTTTGCGTCAAAAGCAGTTTGAATAGCGTCGGTTGAAATATGTGGGAGAAATCACAATTTAAAGTCATAAATAAAGTCTTCGTGACGTAATGGATCGCAGGCCCCAAAAAGAATGAGGGATAATCGTCTTTTCTGTTCTTTTCAAACTTTTTAAACAAGCTTCACATTATCTTGAGGATAATAGTGATATTTCACTGAATGTACAAGCCGTTTATCTCTTACATCTTTTTTCAAATTTCCAAATCATTTGCTCGAGAAGGAAAGTACGTTACACTTTTTACCTCTTTGGTGGCAAAACTGAAAGAAATGAAGTGTCCAAGCGAAAGCACTAATGGTTTAAAGGTATTTATTTCTTCTTTAGTCGGATGACATTCAACCCTAGCACTTCTTCCGTTGTCGCTTCTTCGTCTTGTTAGGTTTAACTTTTGCTTGCTATTTTCTGGGCCGCGTGTCGCGAGCGAAAGAGGCTTTTTGTGCCTCCCCAAGAATTTGTAGTTCATTTCAAAACAGGGAAGAACTTTTGGCTCACTTTGAAAAATGCTTTTGTTTGTTTTTGGCTCTTTAGAAGGTGACGATGGTTTTGAAAACAGTTTGACGATAGTTGTCATGTTTACGTAGATGCGAAACAATATCACTTAGCCTGTTTGGTTTTCTTTCGCGATGCTTGCGGTTTGGTTTTCCTCGGCAGGAACTGTCGTTTGGTTTGGTTTCCAAGGTGATATTTTTTGTAGCACGAATTGCATTTTTGTTTTCACGGTAGCAAGATTTTTTGCTCGCGACCCACGTCAACAATATCCATCCCTTCATGCACAAGAGCAATTCCACGCTAAATACCCCCTTTTCAATGAGATTCTAACAAAAATATCCAATCCCTATTTTAATCGATGTCATCCACGGCGTTGCCCTCTTGGCTGTTTAAGGTCCCTATTACATGGTCCGTGCTTGCGCCTCCAAGCCTTGTATCGTGTATTGACCTCGAGGTAGAGTGATGGATTGGCTGTTGTGTTGCTTTGGTTTGGTTTTATGAGACTCCATCTAAAAGCTCTCTAGTTGTAGTTTTCGGTTGATCATATCTACTTACTAGTAATTACAGTGCACTCTTTTCAAATGGTGCCATTTAGCTTCTATTTTTTATCGTAAAAGGAAGTTCTTACCTTTGTGCTTAAAATCTCACGTGTGTGAACTCACAAGTGCTTTCGTAGTAATACAGTTTATCATCGTGGCTAACTTTTACTCCTAAGAAGGAAACCTTAAGTCCAGATGAAAGCTATCAAGCAGTTGTTTGATGTGATAATACTTCTTTATGAAACTCATCACTGTTTTGGACTTTACCTAAGCCTCGTGACAAGGGCAAAGTACGAGCTGGTCTCTCTACAAAGTGTTACTGCATTGTGAAACGTAACTTCTGGTATGTCTATGACGTCACGCAAGTTTTTGGAATGCTAGCAACAAGCTAGGTCTAGATCTGTTTGAAACCATAAAAAATTAAAACCCGGCGTTTCGCGGCCCGGGAACGAAATGAGTGAGCTTATTGCAGTTGTTTCCTCTACCTAACCTGCAGTTTTTTCTCTCCTCTAGAACATGAAAAGCTGGATTACGGAAATTGCTTGAGTCAGATAAGTACATTCCTAGTTTTAATTTTGATTTTCTAATCTCTTCACCTCATTGCTAAACTTTGATTGCGTAGAGGCACCCATAAAATTTCCGCTGACAAGCCAGGCGAGTTTTCGGTAAGTGATAGTAGTAAGTGAGCTTAGACGGAGGATTATTGACTAGTTGAATACGCATTGTATCTGTGAAAACACTCTTTGAAGCTTGTGTGTCTCAATTCGCTCTTGAAAGAACAACTTTCAAGACTTTAAATTATGTCAGACCCCGCCTGACAAACTTGAAAGACTCACTCTCAAGTGAAACCTATTCTGCAATACATAGACAAGTAAAGCAGGGAAAAGACGTTTGGAAGACGAAACGCTTTCAAGCCATGTGTTGTCTCTTTTCCTTGTCACAATCGACATGCACTGTGTGTGCCTAAATGTTATTCGACAGATCTTGAAAGAATAAGCGCTTCCAAGACATATTTGCAAATTGCTTGATGGCCGTCAAACCATAAAGCTAAAAATTGAGTTCAAGTGTTAAACTTTTAAGATAAAGAAACTTTCGCTGTCTAGTAACTCATGCTTAACTTCTTTGAATTTCATTTTTCTGCTGCTAAAAAGTTGTGAATTTCCATGCGAATTCCGATTCTTCTTGTTGCTGCCAGGCAAATTAAATCTTTGTCACCCAAAAATAATTTCATCCTTCAAGTTAGTATCCAAAATATAATAAAGTAAAAAAAAATTCTGACCCATCCAAGTTAAAAGTGAACTAATCTGTGGCGAATAATGCCGTGGTAAGTTTAAGATATATTTGCTAACTTTGGTTCAATATTTTGTTGTTGTAGTAATTATTGCGAATAGCTCCATCTCTATTATCAATTAAACCGAGGGACAGTCAGTGTCTCTGAACTGCACCATACGTGACGATGGAAGTCGTTCCTGGGAACGTCGGGATGGAATCGAGATCGAAAATGCGAAAAGACAGGTGACTCTTCTCTCCTTATTTTCTATAAATGTATATCTGATATATAAATTTTTTATTTTTCGCATTAAACGAAAGAAGTTTTAAAGTATCAAACTTTTAAAGAAATGATCAGTATTCAGCGAGTAACCATCGAGTTTTGGATGTCCTTGGGAGGTTTAGTAAGCTCTCAAGAAAGTAGGGTCGCACCTCGCTTTCAACGCTTCTTTCGTACTTAGCAACCTCCCACGTGCATCCATAATTCGATGGTTGCACGCTGCAAGCTAAACATTTTTTAATTTTACCCATCTGGTTGTATTTTTACCTCACCTTCCTACGATCTCTCTCAATAGTTTTCACCCATCCATCCATCCCACTGCATTTCTTCCCTGCACCTTCAGTTGTTGAGAGAGTGCAGCAGGTCTCCCATTCCAATTATAGAAGACAACAACGTGGCACTGTTAAGAATGTGTCCGTTTCCCATTTCGAATATCGAGCTGAACCGTACTTCGATTGCTTCCAATATCGAGAAGAACATCTCTAATCCCTTTTCGTTTAACGCACCTAGCTTCTTGCATGTGTTTCTCTGCGTTTCTGGAATTCATAGTTTCTTTATAGTAATTTTCCTTTAAGGTTTCAGTTCAAATTCTATTACAAGGGTCATTTATACAAAAAAACCAATGGCACTATACAAAACGATCAATTATTCCAACGACAGTGGAATTTCTCCGTACAGAAACCTCTTCCAAGGGACCCCCGTACTCTGAGGGACTGTAGATTCAATCGAGCTCATAAGTGCCAAGAAGCTGAGTGCCAATAAGAGCCAAGTTGTGCTAAGGATTGTGGATGTGACCCTGTTATAGAAGTCGTGCTGAAAAAGATCTTAATTTAAAATATCTAATCATACACCATTAGTCTTGTTTAGGTTAAGTAGCTGGCCCAGAATAGCTTTTCTAATAAAGGGCCTTTAAGGACTTTTAAACGTGAATTTGTGAAAAATAAGCTTAACGCTGTCGCTGCATTTGTTGAAGGTTAAAAGAGGAGGAAGACTGCTTGAAATCATTGACACGGCCATTGCAGATTCTGGTGTCTATACCTGTAGAGTGGGCAAAAGCTCTCTCACCATCACGATACATGTTATTGGTAGGTAGTTGGTAATAAGCCTTTCAACCTAAACTGACTTTTCTTTATATTCAAAGGGAACCAGAAGCGTCGTTTATTGTTACATGTCTCAAATAAATTTTAACTTCCTAATACATAGAAGCAGCCCCTCCTTTTCGTCAAAGTCCGTCGCGTGATTCATAAATACCAGCGAAATAAGACTTGACGTAAGCTCGCCGCGGGAAGCTCTTGGAGAGATGTTTGCCCCGAGAAAAACTTTCCTCAACTTGAAGATAACAATAGCTAAAACGGTAGCTCACAAATCCACAAAAAAGGTATATATAAACAGGAAGGAACAAGCAAGGCTAAGGACGAAGAAGATAAAAATGGATTTTAAATTACTTTGAAATATTAGTTGGGTACGATGAAGAAACACAAAAAAGGCACTGATAAGCCATAGAGTTAAAAGGTTGGGGAAGATATATTAAAATGAAATGAAAATGACTACAAAATATTAGCACGGTACGATGAAGAAACACAAAAGAGGCACTGATAAACCATAGAGATAAAAGGTTGGAGAAGATATATTAAAATGGAATGAAAATGACTACAAAATATTAGCACGGTACGATAGAAAAACACAAAAGAGGCACTGATAAACTACAGAGTTAGAATGTTGGAGAAGATATATTAGAATGGAATGACAATGACTACAAATATTAGCACGGTAAAATAGAAAAACACAAAAGAGGCAACAACAAACCGAAAAGAAACAAGGTTGGCTGAGGATGGAGAAGATTTAAATGGATTGAAATTGACTACAAAGTGTTAGCTCGGTTGTTGCTGACAAAAACTCAAAGAAGCTACACTATACTAGGAAGGAAGAAGTAATTTATGATGTCCGTTGTAGAGATGAGGGTGTGTTTTTTCTTATTACAATTGAAGTCAAGGTGGAAATGGCCCTGAAGGTTGAAAATTACAACTACACTAAAAGGCTGGAGAATAAGTCATCGCTACAATACAAGTTAATCGAGAAAAACTTTACCAATGAGGTATGATTTGTTTTCCTCCTTTCATCTCTCCATTCCCTCTCTCCCCATTCCCTTTTGTTTTCTCCTAGGCTACTCGCATTTTGCTTTCCTCTCTAAACCTTCCTCTCTCCTTTTCCTCCTTCCTCTGTTCTCTCTTCCTCCCTCCAGTAATTTCCTCCTTCCCCTCTCATTCCCCTCTC